GAAAATGTCAGTAGTCAACATTATTGACCTAAAAACAAATGTCATAGAGTTTAACCCAATATTTATCTTTTTACTCACTTGCATCCACCAATCACTTGAAGCTTGATAAGAGCAAGAACTGTGCCTGCCATATCTGCCCCTCTGCCTCTGGGGCTTAGCTCTGACCTTGGCCCATAATGAGCTTCCCTTGTGAGTCTGTTGTATAGACAAAGGCAGGAATCCCCCCAAGAGGAACAGCAAGTGACAGTGGAGGTGAGTGAGCTCAGTTTGCCTAAACATGGCAGAGTTGTTGAGGAGGCGGTTAGATTTAGGAGCTCAGGAAGCAGAAAAAAAATGGAAACTGGAGACAGATTCAAAGTCATCAGCTTTCGGAGTAGTAATTGAAGCAATGAATGTGGAAACAATTGTCCAGAGTAGAGTATGGAGTTGAGGGACAACGGATTGTGGTAGACCCTAAAGAGCTCCAATATTAAAGGAGCCTTATGTGAAAGAAAAGGAGCTCTGGTGGTGTAGCAGGTAAGGCATTTTGCTGGTAATCAGAAGGTCAGTGATTCAAACTCACCAGCTGCTCTGTAGGAGAAAGATGAGGCAATCTACTTCTATACAAATTTACAGCCTTGGAAACCCAATGAGGGTCCCTATGAATCAGAGGTGACTCAATGGCAGTGGGTTTTTTTTTCATGAAATAAAGGAGCTCTGATGGTGTAGTGGTTAAGGCATTTGGCTGCTAGCCAAAAGATTGGTGATTCAAACCCACCAGCCACTCCATAGAGGAAAGATGAGGCAGTCTGCTTCTGTAAAGATTATAGCCTTGGAAACCCAATGGGGTTACTATGAGTTGGAAACAACTTCATGACAGTGAGTTTGATTTTATGTGAAATAAGCTACTAATGAGCCTAATTTTTATATTGTAGAATTCTATGAAAGTTAAAATATATGTAAAGTTCTTGGCAGTCAGTAGTAATTGGCAATCATTTTTAATTAATAGTATAAAGTAATATTAGTGAATTAGTATTCACAGCATATATCTTAATAATTACTATAGTGATTATTACTATAGAAGGGTAACAGATATATGACATAAGTAAGTTACTTACTCTTGCTAAGTTTTAGATTTCACGTCTAGAAATAGAGAAAGATTTTTGTTATGAGGAATACTTCTCGTGAAATATACAGAATAGGTAAATTAATAGAAACAAACATTTATTTGTGCTTACCAGAGGCAAGTAGAAAGGGAAATGGATAGTCATTGCTTAAGGGATGCTAAGGTTCCATTAGGAGCTCTGGTAGCATAGTGGCTAAGACACTTGCCTGCTAACCAGATGGCTGG